CTTCCTGGAACTACTTCACCTCTGACATTGTAGAGTAGAAAACCCCACTCCCTAAGAAGGAAAAACATCTTCCTTCCGAGGTTCCCATTCCCAAGAGGCCGCTGCGTTGTTGCACCGTCACCCCCAGTCTGCCTACCCTCCCGGTTATCCCCATTCATCAGCCCCCAGTGTCCCTCCTGCCTCTCTCTAACATGCACGTGCCCGGCAGGCAAGCATTTTAGCAACACTTGCTGGTCACCACCTCTCCCTCTCTATCCCGGGATGAACTCACCCATCTGCTCTCTGTCCTCCCGCTCCTATTCCACTGGGTTCTACCCAAGGAAAGCTGAACTGTGTATTGATGGGCAACCAGTAGGACTGTGTGATTTCTAACCACGGCAAAGCCTTCGGTGCACTGGGTCTTCTGCCATCCAGGTATTCATGACAGACCCTCTGCCAAATCTTTTCAACAACCCTTAAACCACCAAATAATTCTATACCATGTACCGCAGGGTGGCAAAGCATAATGTTAATCATTATCCTAGGATGCTGAATCTACAGTACCCATACTCATCATAACCCTTGAGCAGTTACTTAACTGCTCTATGCCTCATCGCCTCATTTGTAAAATGAAACAGCATTACTGTCTCCATCAGATTGTCATAGGTACAGAATGAGATAGTGTACTTGAACTTGAAGGGCTCGAAATCGCTATATGGCATACAGTCCTCAATCAAGATGAGAAACTAACTGAGAATGATGATTATAATGATGAAGATGGTTACCCTGCACATTTGCTATTATCCCAATTTTACAGATAAGAATACTAAGGACACAGCTAGTAAATGGTAGCAGGGAGTTTAGATGCGGGTCTCTCTGCTTCCAAAATACATGTTTTTACAAGGCTAATTCCATCTCACCTTCCCTGCCCCGTCTGCTGCCCTCACAGAGGAGACATGACTCCATCAGACACCCTCAGGTTTGTGGCAAGGAGCAGAAAGAGCTCAACTGATACAGGTGCTATAGACACAGGAAATTAATAAAAGATTCCAGGGAAACTCAAGATTGGAGATCCATAACTTCATTTATAAAAAAGAGCTTCAACGTGTTTTATGCTAACTCATTCCAAGATATTTTTCTCTCGAGTTGTCACCTTCCATAACAATAAAAGTGCTTTGTCAAGAAAGGGGGCTTAATGAAATGTCTACAAGTTTCAAGTGAAACAAGTATTTGAATTATCTTGCTTAAATTGAGTGGCTAGGATCTATTAAATTTGACTAAACTTATCTAATACTGTTCCTTATTTGAAACACACTTAAAAATATTCTTACACATATTGCTTAAAATTTTAAATGAAAAGAGATTTTTATTTGAATAACATGAAAATTGACCTAGATGGAGAACATGCTTTGTTTCTGCCTGCCCAGGTATAATTGCCCCCCCATTTTGGTAACAGTATCCCGATTTTTCTTTGACGTGGGAACTACCACTCTCCCACTTTTTGGCCATACGGTCGGGTGGAGCTAATGGCACTGATTGGCTCCTGCAGTGGACACATGACCTAGGCCTGGCCAATGAGAAGCTCATGTTCCCCTGGCCCATTGACTAATTCAGAGAGAGGCACATGACCCCGTGCCCTGGCCACCGAGAGCCTAGCCCTAGGACTTTTAATCAAGCCACAGGCAAAGAGAAGCCCTTTTTCCACAGGAAATATTAAGCTGATAAGATATATCACCATCACCACTTGGGGAAAGTTGCCTAAGAATGGAGCCAAAAACAGGAAGGCAGAGATGGAAGTTTCTTCCTGTCACTGGCTCACTTGGATCCAGCTGCGACTAAAGCCAAACCCCTGGAGCTTTTCCCTTACACGTGCCAATAAATTCCTTTTGTTTGTTTGTTTAGGCCAGTTTAAGCTGGGCTTCTGCCATGTCCAACCAAAAATATCCCAACACAACCTATTTGTGCCAAATAGCTAAGATCATTTGCTAAAATTTTAAAAAAGCAAAAAAAAAAAAAAAAAAAAGAGCATGGCTTATTTTTGCAGGTTTGTGAAAGCAGCCAAATGTCATCACATTGAATTCACTTCTATTTTGCTCTGCATGTTACTGCGCTGTGGTTAATTGTGGTTTAATTGTGAAGAGACAGAGGGAGAGAGAAAAAGAAAGCCTCACTCCATGCATGGGAGTCTGCCTCAAGGTAATTAAATTTCTAGAGGTCTTCACCCATGCCTTCCTCCTTAGCTCAAGTTTTTATGGTTAACCTTCTAACTTTTAATTCTTGTCGCTTGTTCTAGGGTCTATTTCCATCAGTTATTTTTTTCCCCTCACCACAGATAAGCTCTTCCCCAAACCACCCTCAGCTTTTCTAACTTTACTGGTTCCTACCCGTTAGCCTATAAACACACCTCTGTCTCCTTCACACAAAAATTAAATAAAAAAAGAGAAACAGACTTCAATATGCAAAACCATACATACACCCAATGAGGCAGAAGTAATCAGAAAGAAATGGAAGAAAATGGTGTCAAATATTACTGATGGTTGTGTCTGGTGGTAGGGTAACAGCTGATTGTTTTTTGAAAAAACACTTTTCTGTACTTTCCAAATTGTCTTGGCATTCTTTTTACAACAGAAATATACAGAGAGTGCCAAAAAAATGCATACACATTCTAAGAAAGAAAAAAAACTGTATTAAAATTGTAATAGTATATACCGATAACAAAAGGTGAATACAAGTCATGTGTATGCACTTTTTTGGCACCCCCAGTATATTTTAAAAATATGCTTTGTCTTTCAGCTACCAACATCTTCCCATTTAATGCTGCCAGACATTAAATGGAAGACCAAGCACACCTGCTTCCTCCTCACTCCCTTCCACTCGGACTCAGTCATTACTTACGCTAATCAACCGAAACTGCAGCCCCGCCCCCCAGGGGACCCGTGTGGCACCACAGCCCAGCCCATGGCTTCTCTTCTCCCTTAGCCCATGCCACCTCTGTGGGTTGGCTCGAGTTTGAAACTGCAGCATTATCCTTGGATTTTCCTTTCCTTTCCTTCTCCTTGAAGAGAGACGATGGAATTCATTCAACACCTAACATGTTCAAAGCATGTTACTAATAATGACAGGGGACACTGAAATAGGGAAGACATTTCACTTCCCTCCATTTCCAAGGGGGACAAGGCAAGAAGATAAATAACTACAAAATAAGCCCAATATGATGAATCATAAGATGGTACAAAGTGCTGGAAACCTTCAAAGGAGAAAGACACTATATCCAGCTGAGAGATCCAGGAAATTCTCCTCCCAAGGAATAAGACTTGTAAGCCCAGAAAAACGGATAACATTTGTACAAACAGAATTTGGGGAAAGGCCAATCCTGACAGAGGGAACAGCAAAAGCCACGGAGCCAAGAGAGGAAACAGGAGGCGGGCCTGGCCCCCGAGCTATCTCACCGAGCAGGCCGGCAGCTCGTTTCTCCGTCCCTGACCTTGCTCACGCCCTGGTTGCTCGTGCTTCCTTCCATGTCATGCGGAGTGGGTCAGCTCAAGGCTGAGACATAAACGGCCTTCCTCGTCCCAAAGGCTTCTGGGCTCAGTCAGTGGACAATGGAGGCTAATGAATCGTTTGTGAGCAAAGGTCCTAAGTGGGCAGGAGAATGCTTGAGGAAATTAATCTGGCAACAAAGGAGAGTGTACGGGAGGGACCCAGTCACTGCAGTGATAGGAATAAGGTAAGGATGCTGAACTCATTGTGGCTAAATGTTTTCATAATCAACGGAAACACTGCAACCAGGAGTTCGAAGCAATCTACACTGCTTCCTTTGTACCTAAAGTCCCATTTAAAATGCACATTTAGGGCCGGCCGAGTGGCACAGTTGGTTAAGAGCTCGCTCAAGGGTTTGAGCTCTGAGCAACAGCGGTTCGAGTCCGGCCTGAGCTGAGCTGCTGCTGAGCTGCCAACAGGTGGCAGGATGGCTCAGCTTAAAATAAATAAATAAATAAAATAAAATAAAAATGCACATTTAATTCCCAAAAGACTTTACAAGCCCATCACAATCTTCTCTGAGTTCTTCTTTGTAAAAAAAAAAAAAAAAAAAAAGTCTGACTCTATTTTTGATGCTTAACTACTGACAGCTTCAAGTCTCACCATGCACAGGAGCCTTCTTCCCAGCCCCACTCCCCAATCCCAATAAAAACCAAAGTGATGCATCCCTTCCTTCACTCAAGACGATGGACCAGTTTGGGTGCCTTCACTGCTCGTTCCCGAAAATGATGTGAGTAATAAATATTTTCATACTCTTTTGGTATGTGTGTGGCACCATCCGCCTTGACACCAAACCAGTTTGGAGTGTGAGTGGGGCAGGAGTTGATCCCACCCTCCATGGTAACCAAAAACACTCTTAAATAGTCAACTACTGCCAAGTCCTTACTCCACCTAGATTAGAGGTAAGAAGATGCAGAGAAGGGGCACATGGAAATCCTGAAAGAGTTTCTGAGCTCCGGAAAAGCTCTCATAGAGAGAGGCCCCTTCATTAAATGTCCTTTGGTCTAAAGATCAACTCAGTATTGACTGGCTACACTGCATGGTCATCTACATTCACTCACATATCTAGTTATCGCCTTTAAAATGACTGACTGTGCATTTGGTAAATACTTAGCTCCAGCCTCTCCCCACTGGCTAACCGTAAGGCACTGCATAGTCACAGGAGCTGTGCACTTAATTCTCCCATAGTCTGTTGCTTTTAACTAGAAGAAACTCTACAGAAGTTGGAACCATGAACATTTCTCTTCCTTAAAGTTCTGAGTTAAAGGGCTAGGGCAACTGAAAGGCTAAAACGATAAGTGACAAATACCATTCTTCAAATAGCACTTTAGTCATAAACCAAATGATAATCTTGATGTGTGCAGCGTACAGAAAGTATTTCCATGTCTTTTCAGCAATACATCCATATAGTTAAAGGTCATAATTATGAAAACCAGTGTCTTCCTCAGAGAAAGTTTAAAATCATAATATTAATTACTTACACATCTTTAGCTGCTCCTGCAGGTCCTAGGGGGGGAAAAAAGAGATAAGTTTGCATTAACGTGATAGCATTGCTACAAAAACTTTAATTCAATACCCAACTAAAATAATATTCCAGAAGAGGCAAGTTGAGAAGACGGTTTTTTTTAAAGGTTATTTCAAAAAAAGAAAAAGGAGGGCCAGACAATCATAAAATTCAAATCTTAAGTTTCGAACTTATTCTGCCCACTTTTAACAACGCGTATAAATTACGAAGTGTTTGTTCTAAAAGGGATTTTACATGTCACCGAATCCAACCTCCTCATCTTACACATAAAGAAACTGACGGAATAAGAAATAGTTTCTTCTCTAAGCCGCACCCCTTCTAAGCTGGTGCCTCCGTGATTGTTACGTCACACTCTGCACTAGTCACAAAGCAAAGCAAAGTCACAAAACAAAATGGAAGTGCCGTCCTAAGTGAATTAGGGAAGTGTCAAGGACACCAGCCTAGCTCCAAAAGGAGTTACGTACATTAAAAACTCTGCCCCTGCTTGTTACTGAACCCTCTCATTCCTGCTCCCCACCCCCATGCCAGAAACAACCCCTCTTTTGGACCCCGATCCTATCACTGATTGCAGGTTCTCTGCCCACAAGGCCCCATCTCCACACCTCCTCCCCCTAATATCCTTATCTAACATCATACAACTTGTTTCCAACTTTACTATCAACACGGCATTCAATGTCCTTTAACCTCTTAAAACCTCACTTTGCTCATGTGTCAAATGAGGGTAATGAGAGTACCTTTCTCAAAGGTTATTGTGAAGATAAAAAAAAAACAATAATAATGTGTAAACACAAACACAAAGTCTGGCACATAAAAATAGCTAAGTTGTTATTATTAAAACAGTCACATTTAACTTAATATCTCAATTTCCATATCTATGAAATGGAAATTAAAACAACTTATGCACAAGTCACAGAGATGTGAAAATAAAGGAAGATGTGCTACAAGGTAAGCAAGTAAGGAAAAGTTATTGTCACGATTGTAAGAGCTATGCCCCAGTGACATTAATTTAGGATCTGTGTTACTGCAAATTCAAAGCAGAGCAGAAAGGTAATCAAGACAATATATCTCAAACAAATACTTTCAAGGCTTTGACCAAACCTGAATTGTGTAACAAACTTAGCTCCTTTCTTCAGGGAAGAGTAATACTGCTGTGTCACAACTACCATTTAAATTATATAAATTAAAACTGCTTTGGAATCTGGGATCATAAAACCAAAAGAACCCTAAAATTAAAAAAAAAATCTTAACATGAGAAACACTGCCAACAGTGGAGTATTTTGAAAGGAAAAAAAAAATAAACGAAGGATCGGTGCCACGAAAAACCCATGAAAATGAACATTTTATTTCCGAATCAAAACAAGCCTGAGAATCTGGAAGGAACTCTAGAGTGAAAATAACACCCTCCTTTTCTCCTTCTTATTTTCGTGGAAAATGATAGGGCATGTTTGAGTGTTTTGCTGCGGTCCGGGGAGCGAGGAACCAGAGGCGGCACAAACTTTGATTCTGTGAAGTCTTAAAAAGGAGATCACAACGAGGACCGTGAGTCCATTGAGAGGTGAAGGGCCGTGGAGCACAGCCCACAGGGAGAGCAGAGCACAGAAGCCATTCCGCTCCATCTCAGGGACGATCTGCAGGCTGGGAGGGAAGGAACACCATGAAACTGGAAGGCAGAAGGTCCGAGTAAAGTCCTTGTTCCGATGTTCGTCTAACAGTCAATAAATCACCCTGCTTTCATTTCTAATACTGGGCCGATAAAGGCAGCTGAGAAGGCAAAGCGCAATAATGTGTGTGAAATTAGTTTCCAAACAGCACCGTGTTGTCTAATCACTACCTAATGTTAATCAGTCACTAGGAGCCCGCCATCCACTTCACCTTGATTGCGCCAGCTCCCGGCACCCACAGGGCGTCTTCCTAGTTGGGTTCACCATCTACCACCCCAGCAGGACCAAGGCAGATGCCTGGTGTTACCTTCCAAAAGGAAGTCAGAGATCATTTCTTTGTTCTCAAATGTCCCTCACGTAAAGGGCACCATCTATTTAAAAACTACAAAGGTGGGGAGAGCAAAGAAGTCAGAAACCCTACATCAAGTACTATATATACTCGGTTATAGTATGTGCTCCATTTTGTTTATTTTTGTTTTTTTAAATTTAAGTATGTAAGTATAGCTGGTATACAATCTTATATGGGCTGTATCAGTTTCAGGTGTACAATAGTCGACATTTTTATACCTCACAATGCGATCACCCCACTAATTCTAGGATTCAGCTTGCAAACTCATCACAGTATTATTGACTATATTCCCCTACCCCTTCACACCCATCCCCCAACCCCTCCCTTCTGGTAACCACCCCTCAGGTCTCTGTTTCTCTGAGTTTGTTTTATTTTTAGAGTCCACATATAAGTGAAACCATACGGTATTTGTCTTTCACTGCCTGACTTATTTCACTTAGCACCATTCTTTTTTTTCAAGAGAAGAAAATGTGCCTCTTCAACGCAAGGTAATATGGTATTAATAATAAGCTTATCAGCAGGGCAGGTAGAACATGTCTCCCCAATACACAACTTCTCAGAATTTAAAAAAAAAATGTAATTGCTGGAAATTGCAAAACTATCAAAATATCTGGGTATATAAAAGATGAACTATCTCAATTTTCTGCAAAAGTATATAATCATAAAATTAGAAATAGAAGAAAAATTATCATTACCTTCGCTGCAACATTTTAATCACACTTCACCTACATATTGATTATAATTAACCAGATGGAGGTCTGTACTCTAATTTATGCAAAAAATACTTTGACTAGAATTATTCAATAGCGCCAAAATCCTATTTGCATTAAACTGTGTTTATGGGTCATGTGATTTGTCATTTATTAAACAAATATTTATAGCGGCGTGTCTACTTCTTTCCAGGCCTGGGGTTAGCAACACTTTATTTCCCGCCAGAACGGTTCTTTCCTGTTTAAGCACAGCCTTGGTGCATTAATCCAATGGCCTTAGGAGAAATAGAGATGAGGGAAGGTAACACTGTTCCTTGTGGAATAAAGCACCAGAAAATACACACAGTTAGAATTTTTGTGGGTCGAAAGATTTCATGACTATTTTCCAACTGTACCAATGATTATCATACTTTTATATACCTTCCTAAAAATTAGGTGGGGGGAGGTATGCTTTCAGAAAAGTATCATCTGCCGTTCTAATGACAAAAAGTAATTGTAAATGCTTAGAATATGAAAGGAAGGACATTTCCTTCTGAAAGGAACTGTTTCTTTCACACTGAAACATCGTTGGTTGTTCCCCATATCACTTCATTTCACAGTGATTGTGCATAGCTTTTATTTTACACATTTCAAAGGATTTTAACATTTTATTCATGAGTCTGAAAGTCTCAGTTGCTTAAAAATGCATAGCAAGTCCAATGTATTCAAACATTCAAAACGCTGACCAAAATTACAAATAATTTATAAGATATTCAACCTCGGAAGTTCCCTGAACACTAGATGAACAGAACCTCTAAATGAAGGACTTAAAGAGGAGGCCACGTTGAGTCAGGTAGGAGAGGCAGAGACAAACATTCAAAACACTTACTAATCTGACTGTAGAATCATGCAGATAGTTGGGTTTTGCCCCCCTCCCCCCACCTTCCTCCCTCCTGCCCCAGGTCCTGGCACAGAGCTTCTAAAACTCTTGGAATTTCCTGAATGATAACAGTGATAGGAGCCTTTTTCCTTCTAATGAGCTGACTCTTGGCAGAACCTTAGATAGCTTTAGGAAGGGGGCCTGTCACCAGAAAAACCAACCCTTGATTAGAAGCTTGGAACTTTCAGCTCCACTCCCCAACTTCCAGGGAGGAGAGAGGGGCTGGGGACTGAGTTAATCACCAATGGCTGATGGTTTCATCTAATCACGCCTACCTAATGAAATTTCCATAAACCCCTAAAATGACGGGGGTTCAAAGTGGTTCCGAGTTGGGAGGCACATCTATGTGCCAGGAGGGTGGTACACCCCCAACTCCGTAGAAACAGACTCCTGTGCTCACGACCCTCCAGACCTCTCCCTATGCGTCTCTCCATACGGAAGAACAGATGGCGGTTCATCTCTGTCCTTTTTAATCAGCAGTAAATTGAAACAACTAAAGTACCTCCCTGAGTTCTGTGAGCCACAGAAAATGATCAAATCTGAGGAAGGGGGCTGTGGGAACCCCCAAATTTGTGGCCAAGAGGATAGAAATGCGAAGAACTTGGGGACCCAATGCTTATGACTGGTGTCTGAAGTGGGAGCATTTTGGGGGACCTGAGCCCCTAAACCTGTAGTGACTGACACTAACTCCTGGTAGTGAGTATCAGAACCCAGCCTAACTGCAGGACACCCATTTGATGTCACAGAATTGGAGAACTGGATGGTATCAGAAGGGAAAAAAAACAAAAAAAAAAACTTCAGGTATTCTTCATGTTTTATAACATGCATTATAAAAATTTGGTATCTTAATAAGTAACCAAGATTCTGAACTGCCTTGATGTGCTCTATGAATCACACCAAGATTGAACTGTGCTGTATTTAGTTTAAAATAATTATTTATACTCCAGGTATAGAGTTTTTCAACTATATTTTCTTATTTGGCCCCATTCCCAAACAACTGCAGAACAACCTTCTGCGTTAGTTTCCTATGGCTGCTGTAAGAAATCACCACACAGAGATGCATGCCCTCAGAGCTCCAGAGGCGGAAGTCCAATCAAGGTCAGTCAGTGCACACCCCTTCCAGAGGCCCGAAGGAAGAACCCATCCACGCCTGTCTTGTGCATCTGGCAGCCGTCAGCATTCCTTGGCATTGTTTAGCTGGTACCACTTTCCTCTCTGTTCCAAGATCGCCTTCTCCTCCCTGTATCTCTGCTTTCTTTTCTGTTTCTTATAAGAACACATTTCATTGGATTTAGGGATTTAGGGCAGATAATCGAAGATGATCTCATTTGCAAATTCTTAC